TTTCTATTATATCCTTAAATATAAATAAAAAATATAACATAAGAGTATAATTATATTTACAAATAGACAAAAAATATTTTTTATATATTACTAACGTGAAAAAGATATTTCATATTTCTATGTAATTTTAAAATATAAAATAAAAATCAGTCAATAACAATCTAAAAAATAAAATAAAATAAAAATAAATTATTAATAATATGATCAATTTTTTTTAAATAATTATTATTATATGACTAGTTTTTGAACGATTTAAAAGGTAAAAAAATAAAACAAATAAAAAATAAATAAAAATGGTGAGATATAACCAAAATAGAAATGGAAATGAAAAGAAATTAAAAATACAACAAAACCAAACAAACTAACTAAGAAGAATGCCATGTAACACGCTCTCTACCACAGTTCTTCATAAAATCAAACTAAAACTTACTAAAAAGCATAAAATTTCGAGTAAAATTCAATACATATCGTAATTATCCATAAACTTCAGCCGATGCATAACAATTACGATAAGAGTTTAATAGCTCCGTAGTGGCAATATAAAAATTGGCCAGACCAATCACAAATCACAGCATAAATCGATAAATTCATCACTGATTACGAATTCTGATTAGTATCTCTTGTGAAAAATAACTAAAAGGGTGTTGCTAACATGTAAATATAAATGGATGTATAACATAGAGACTACACTCTAGAGAGTAAGAGAGTGTTGGTAGTTGGCAGCATTTACTCGATCATAGTAACAAAGATAGAAATGTAAATGTAAATGAGATGAGAGAGAGAGAGAGGTACCGTGAACTTCATCACCAGCTTCAGGGGTATCCCATCCCGCACCTTCTTTGAGGAGTTTCTTCGTTTTAATTTTTTTTAAAAGAAGACAATTATTTTTAAATAGGACAATTATTATATATATATATATATATTTCTATTATATCCTTAAATATAAATAAAAAATATAACATAAGAGTATAATCATATTTACAAATAGACAAAAAATATTTTTTATATATATTACTAACGTGAAAAAGATATTTCATATTTCTCTGTAATTTTAAAATATAAAATAAAAATCAGTCAATAACAATCTAAAAAATAAAATAAAATAAAAATAAATTATTAATAATATGATCAATTTTTAAATAATTATTATTATATGACTAGTTTTTGAACGATTTAAAAGGTAAAAAAATAAAACAAATAAAAAATAAATAAAAATGGTGAGAAAACAACTGAGTTTGTTCTAATTTATTGTTTGGTTTTGTTTTGCTATTTTTTTATTAACGATTTATTTAATTATTTATTTTTTTGTAGTTCACTATACTGGGACGTTGCTTGATGGGCGCAAGTTTGATTCCAGCAGAGACAGGGGAACTCCATTCAGTTTCACGCTTGGACAAGGTGAGTGTCTCTCTCTCTCTCTCTCTGGTAAGAGTTGTGGGTGTTGTGATTGAACGTGGTGGAATTTGAAATTGTGTGTGGGGTTGATTATGAAGTAGATTTCATCATAAGCACTTCAATATGTGCGAAATGACAAGGTGTTTTTAAACAGAGGTTGTGTTTGCTATGGTCAACTTTTGAAATTTTTGTTCGGTGGAAACTCATGATTTGGGCGTTTTAATGAAGACTTGAATGAGGTTTTTCACGTGTTGATTTACTTATTATTTGGGGGAATAAGGTATAGTTTTTATTTATTGAAAATTTGGAATAGTATTATGTTTGATATAAGTGGTGCCTTGGAAATGCAGGGCAAGTTATTAAAGGATGTGATCAAGGTATTATAACAATGAAGAAAGGTGAGAATGCCCTTTTCACCATCCCAGCTGAGCTAGCTTATGGTGAATCTGGTTTTCCTTCAAAGATTCCTCCCAATGCAACTCTTCAATTTGACGTGGAGCTTCTGTCTTGGACTTAGTGTGAAGGACATATGCAAGCATATGAGCTCGCCTAACCCTTTGAACGGATCAGGGAGAAGTTGAAGTCTGGAAATTATGACAAAGTTGAAGATTGTTGTTTGTTGCTTTTAGTGTTTAGGGTTTAAAATTTTGTATTTAGACTGTATTGGTAATTTATGATGTAGCAGACTTTTGAGATTATGTTTTGCATGACAATATTAATTGGTTATCATATGACAATACTTAATGTAGGAGACTATTATTATTGTGATTTACAACAGTTGGCTACTTATAGTTTAACAAATGTAATACGCTATTATTATGATCATTTTTTTATATAGTTTTTACAAATGCAAGAATAAGAGAATGGCAAAGAATATGACAAAGTGTGGTAAATGAGACTATTAACTAAGTCTGGTAAATGACACTATTAACTAAGTGTGGTGATTGATACTATTAACTAAGTCCAAGTCGTAATAAAGAAACATTTTAAGTCCAACCCGTTATAGTTACAAACTTATTAAGTCCAACTCGTCTTAATTATAAACATATTAAGTCTAACTCGTCAGAATGAGATTTACGTTAAGTCCTATCAGTGAGAATCACGGTCGTGATTTACAATCACGGTCATGATTTCCTCTGTTATAAGTCATAATAAAAACATGTTAAGTTCAACCTATCAGACCCGTGAGAATTACGGCCGTGATTACCTATGTTATAATTCACAATAAAAACATGCTAAGTTCAATCCACCAGACCCGTGAGAATCACGGCCGTGATTCACAATCACGCCCGTGATTCACAATCACGCCCGTGATTGCCTCTGTTATAAGTCACAATAAAAACATGTTAAGTTCAAGTTGTCAAACCCGTGAAAATCACGGTCGTGATTCACAATTATGCCCGTGATTGACACGGCATCAGTGACATAAATCCTATAAATACCCACGCCCATCACGCATCCCACGATTGTGATTCGTCCCACCCACCCAAAACCCTACCTTCCTCGTATAAAACCCACGACCGTGATTTATCCCACCACCCAAAACCCTACCTTCCTCCTATAAAAATCCACCACCGTGATTCCTCCCTAAACTGAAAACTCTACCTTACTCCTATAAAAACCCAGCCCGTGATTCATCCCACCCACCCAAAACCCACTGAAACCAAGACCCTTGCAATGGCCCCAAAGCGAACTCGTGCATCTCATGGCTCATCTTCTAACAATCCCACACCGGAGTTGGAAGACATAGAAGTACCAGCTCTTCCACCTCTACAATTTCGAGACAGTCAACAACACGATAAGTATCAGACTCTCAGTACTCGTACAATCACTGCAACGGGGTATCTTGATTTTCAATTTTTGCGCCAATTAAGGTTACGTGCTGACATCAATTTTATGTTGACAAACATTGGGCGGAGTAATTTTGCGACGATCCATGTCGAAAAGGTTTATCCAAGGGTTGTTCTTGAGTTTCTTAGTTCTCTCCACACTGAAATTTTGACTGGGGCAAATTGTGGACCAGGATTGATTTCGTTTAGACTTTTTAATATAGAACATAGTCTCAATTTGGAGCAATTCAATGCTATCTTTGGATTTCAATCTGGGGGAAAAAAGAAACCCAATATCATTTAATCCATACATCTTTTGGGGGGCTCTAACAGGTCATAGACAATGGTTGGCTGGTAAATGCAATTCGTCTACATTTCGCCACCCGGCCATTAGAATTATGCATAAATTTATTGCATCTACTGTTCTAGGTCGTGGCGATTCAGAGGGAAAGGTACGCCTAACGGATTTACTATTTATATGGGCAATGATGAAAAATAGGGATGAAAAGATCAACTCTGGTGCATATCTGGCTAGACAATTGCAAAGCATTTCAAACACTGGATTTGGTAATATTGTCAACGGGGGCTTGATAACTACAATTGCAAAAAATTTGGGCTATAGGGAATTTCTAGACAATTTACAGGATATCGGACCTCCTAGAAGGATTAATTTTAATACTTGTTATGCAATGCACTGTATTACTAAGGACAATGATGATATGTTTTATTTCATTGTTAGCGAGACAGGAGTGAACCACTTACTGCCAAATCGACACTATACATTGAAGGATGAAACCACATGGTGTTTTCTCTTGCAGTCATTGACTGATGTACCCCAACAACAACCTGTTCTTCAGGACGTAGCACTTGAAGCAGACCAAGAGGAGACAGAGGACCAACATTTAACAACACAACCGCATGTACAAGTAGAAAATGCTAATATTCTATCTGTCATTCAATCTATGGAACGTCGACTACAAGAGATGGATGAACGTCAACAACAATATAATTATATGGTTGATATGATGTATAATTGGCACCTTCAGCGTTATCCAGATGATTTTCCTCCCTAGTAATTTCTCTGAATCATATTGCTTCACCACAAGCAATTTATGTTATCATTTTCTCTTGTTTAGTCTTTGAACTTTCTTAGCATATATATTTAACTCCTTCAAATTTCATACCATATGTATTCAAGTCTTTAAAAACTTAGACCTTAATATATGCATGTTTATGAATTTTGGTATGCTTTGACGTTCATACTTGGTGCACTGATGGTTTTAATCTTAAAAACCAACCATTAAATTTAAACTTCAGGCAATGCTACAATACCATCATTACTAATTCTTGATAATTCCATTGCAATTAAACCAACATTACAAAAATAACCATAAAAAATATCCCAAAAGGTGTCTTTAAATACGAAACACCATATTTCACTACTTCAAATAAAACACCCTTCCAAATTAAACCAAGTTGTTACAAATTACATACATTAAAACCAAATTCAACAACAACAAAAAAAAAACAATTATCAACAACTTCATCCACCATCTTATTGACTTCAAAGAACTCTGAAAATTGTTCATCTTTCTCCTCTGCCTAGCTATCAACAAATCCCTTTCATCCACATATTCCTCTAAAGACCACTTAAAAAAGTTGCATCCTTGTTGTTCAGCATCACCAAACTACAAATTTTTTAAACCAAAGAAACAAAACCACAAAATCAGCAATTAGGGCTAAATTAATTTAATTAATTTACATTACATACCTTGTAATTTGGACAACCCCAGAATCTTTTACCAGCATTGGCAGATGTCATTGCTGTTCGCAACACAGCAACCTCCCCGCAATAGCAATAGGGAAAAAAATACCTACTACCATGACTTTCAAACCCACTTGAATTCGTGGAGTTCATTGGGCGTGAATTCGCAGACATCCGGGACGTTTGCATTCTTCAACAGTAAACCCTAACTTCAAATCCTGCAAATGATAAGATGTGGACAACAAAAACTAATTTATCAACAAGAAGAAGAACAAGAACAACAACAACAAGAAGAACAAGAACAGAAGAAGAAGAAGAACAGGGGGCGGACAAAGGAACCTTAAATGAGAATAATGAACACATACCCATCTACAGAAACATAAACAAGAACCAAAACAAAAAGGCATCCACGTCCCAATCCACGTTGGAATCCGCCTGCCCATTATCAATCCACGTCAGCACCAACTCGCGTCCACATCCTCAAGAATTAACACCGTTAAAGAAATTTGGACGGAAGGACCACATTGAAACCAATTAATTTATTAGGGAATTGAAACCAATTAATTAGTTTAGGACCAAATTGAAACCTAAAATAAAAGTGAGACTAAATTGAAACAAACAATTATTATAAGGGACCAAATTAAATTTTTAACCATAAATTAATGTTATTGTTTTAAAAAAAGGCAGTTGTTTTAATTTTTTTTAAAAGAAGACAATTATTTTTAAATAGGACAATTATTATATATATATATATATATTTCTATTATATCCTTAAATATAAATAAAAAATATAACATAAGAGTATAATCATATTTACAAATAGACAAAAAATATTTTTTATATATATTACTAACGTGAAAAAGATATTTCATATTTCTCTGTAATTTTAAAATATAAAATAAAAATCAGTCAATAACAATCTAAAAAATAAAATAAAATAAAAATAAATTATTAATAATATGATCAATTTTTAAATAATTATTATTATATGACTAGTTTTTGAACGATTTAAAAGGTAAAAAAATAAAACAAATAAAAAATAAATAAAAATGGTGAGAAAACAAGAGTAATTGAAATAGTCATAAAGATAAAAATTGTCAAAGTTATATGGAGGCAAAATAGAGTAATTTATATTTTTTTCTTCAAACTATTCCTAATTGTTAAATAATTTTGTAGTTTTATTTCATTATTTATTTTTATTATTATTATTATTATTATTTACCTCTTTCATACCGGTATATATAAAAAAGGAAAGAAAAAAAGAAGTCGCAATTAGGTGAATCTGGAAGCATCCTTACCCTGGATTCTCGAAATTACCCTGGAACTCTCTGGAACCTCTTCCCTAGTTCTTTCCCCTTTTAAACCCTCTCTCTCCACTTCGACCTTCTCCGCTTCATTTCCTTCTTCTCTGAACTCCAACGCACAAAGTCCCTACACAAGCCTTCTCTCTTCCACATTTCGACATGGACGAGGATTTCGACCTGCCAGCGCCGGAACCCATGAACGAGGACTTCGACTTTGCCGGCGCCGGTGACGGAGACAACCCCGTCTTCAAGGTCGGCGAGGAGAAGGAGATTGGAAAACAGGGCCTTAAGAAGAAACTCCTCAAAGAAGGTCAAGGATGGGATACCCCTGAAGCTGGTGATGAAGTTCAAGGTACCTCTCTCTCTCTCTCATCTCATTTACATTTACATTTCTATCTTTGTTACTATGATCGAGTAAATGCTGCCAACTACCAACACTCTCTTACTCTCTAGAGTGTAGTCTCTATGTTATACATCCATTTATATTTACATGTTAGCAACACCCTTTTAGTTATTTTTCACAAGAGATACTAATCAGAATTCGTAATCAGTGATGAATTTATCGATTTATGCTGTGATTTGTGATTGGTCTGGCCAATTTTTATATTGCCACTACGGAGCTATTAAACTCTTATCGTAATTGTTATGCATCGGCTGAAGTTTATGGATAATTACGATATGTATTGAATTTTACTCGAAATTTTATGCTTTTTAGTAAGTTTTAGTTTGATTTTATGAAGAACTGTGGTAGAGAGCGTGTTACATGGCATTCTTCTTAGTTAGTTTGTTTGGTTTTGTTGTATTTTTAATTTCTTTTCATTTCCATTTCTATTTTGGTTATATCTCTATGATAGGGTTGAGAAATGCTAAATTGGCTGAATTTTATCTGGAATTCCAATATTTAATGTACTTTACTTGTTATTTTCTGATTTTTAGAAGTTGTAATTTAAGGTAGTGTGTCTTACTTATTATAAAGATTGTGTTAGAATGTGTGTAACCTGGCTGAGTTTGTTCTAATTTATTGTTTGGTTTTGTTTTGCTATATTTTTCTTAACGATTTATTTAATTATTTATTTTTTTGTAGTTCACTATACTGGGACGTTGCTTGATGGAACCAAGTTTGATTCCAGCAGAGACAGGGGAACTCCATTCAGTTTCACGCTTGGACAAGGTGAGTCTCTCTCTCTCTCTCTCTCTGTGCTAAGAGTTGTGGGTGTTGTGATTGAACGTGGTGGAATTTGAAATTGTGTGTGCGGTTGATTATGAAGTAGATTTCATCATAAGCACTTCAATATGTGCGAAATGACAAGGTGTTTTTAAACAGAGGTTGTGTTTGCTATGGTCAACTTTTGAAATTTTTGTTCGGTGGAAACTCATGATTTGGGCGTTTTAATGAAGACTTGAATGAGGTTTTTCACGTGTTGATTTACTTATTATTTGGGGGAATAAGGTATATTTTTTTTTTTATTGAAAATTTGGAATAGTATTATGTTTGATATCAGTGGTGCCTTGGAAATGCAGGGCAAGTTATTAAAGGATGGGATCAAGGTATTATAACAATGAAGAAAGGTGAGAATGCCCTTTTCACCATCCCAGCTGAGCTAGCTTATGGTGAATCTGGTTCTCCTCCAACGATTCCTCCCAATGCAACTCTTCAATTTGACGTGGAGCTACTGTCTTGGACTAGTGTAAAAGACATATGCAAGGATGGTGGTTTATTTAAGAAGATACTTACTGAGGGAGATAAATGGGAGAATCCCAAGGATCCTGATGAAGTATTAGGTATACTTGTTTGTTAAAGACTTCATTTTCTATTTGAGTGCGGTGTTATTTAACTTAGTTTAATTATTAAATACACTGTTGGTGCTGCAGTGAAGTATGAAGCACATCTTGAAGATGGAACTCTTGTGGCAAAATCTGATGGAGTGGAATTCACAGTTAATGAAGGTCAGTGCCTACCAATTTGGTTACTTCATATTAAATTTTGCTTTGGTATAATTGCACCTTAACGTTTGCTGTATTGCAGGTCACTTTTGTCCTGCGTTGTCAAAGGCTGTTAAAACCATGAAGAAGGGAGAGAAGGTGATTCTGACTGTGAAGCCACAATGTAAGTTGTCTACAGAATGATTTGGTAACTGATGGTATACCTTTTTTTTTAACTGAAAAGGGATATGATCATATGACTACTATTCTTAATATTATATTCATTTACTTCTTAAGTTCATAGTTTTATGCATTTTTTTAATTTGTTTATAGATGGGTTTGGTGAGAAAGGTAAGCCAGCACATGGTGACAAAGGTGCAGTTCCACCAAATGCAACATTGCACATTACTCTCGAGTTAGTTTCTTGGAAGACTGTGTCAGAAGTAACTGATGACAAGAAGGTCATTAAGAAGATCCTCAAGGAAGGGGAAGGATATGAGCGTCCAAATGAGGGAGCCGTTGTGAGATGTAAATGCTAGTTAATATTTGAATGTGAATGATGATCTTTTCATTGTTTATGGATTTAAGCTTCTGATGTGTTACCTTTTTTTTTTTAAAAATTGTTGTAGTGAAAGTAATTGGAAAGCTGCAAGATGGTACTTTATTTTTGAAGAAAGGCCATGACGATGAAGGGGAGCTGTTTGAATTCAAAACAGATGAGGGTAACATGAAATGTCTTGATTTTGCTTTCCACTTCCCTCAAATTTTTATTTTTGCAAATGCTAACTAACGTGAGAACTTGATGGATTGGGCAGAGCAAGTAATTGATGGGCTTGATAGAGCTGTGTTGACTATGAAGAAGGGTGAGGTAGCGTTGCTGACTGTTGCCCCTGAATATGCTTTTGGTTCATCAGAGTCTCAGCAGGAACTGGCTGTGATCCCGCCTAACTCCACTTTGTATTATGAGGTTGAGTTGGTATCATTTGTGAAGGTAAGTTAAGAACCGAGCAATGATATACATTTTTGCATTGAACTTGTATCTTTGAATGTTGATGAAAGAAATCGATATTGGAAAGGAATGCTAGCTACCATGCAGTTGTAATTAAACTAAATGAACTTGTATCTTTATACTTTGATGAAAGAAATTGATATTGGAAAGGAATGCTAGCCACCATGCAGTTGTAATTAAACTAAATTAACTTGTATCTTTAAACTTTGATGAAAGAAATTGATATAGGAAAGGAATGCTAGCCACCATGCAGTTGCAATTAAACTAAATTCACAAGGTTAAGGTAATGATTAAGAAACAAAAGCACTATAATTGTGCTTTGTTTTTCTTTTCGCTTGCACGATCCAATTTTGTGTGTTTTTCTAGTGTTGTGCCTGTTTTTTTTCCTATATATTAATTGTTTCCTGTATATAACTGAATTGTCATCCAGCCCTATCAATAGGAGTTTCAAAAGTTCATTAAATTTTTCTACCAATGAATAATTAATTATTTTTGCCTACTCTTAGGAGAAGGAATCCTGGGATATGAACACACAAGAGAAGATTGAAGCTGCTGGTAAGAAGAAAGAAGAAGGGAATGCACTATTTAAAGCTGGTAAATATACAAGATCTTCTAAAAGATATGAGAAGGTAATTAAAAATAAATTAAATATTCATTCACTATTTACTCTCTTTCATTTCAATGCATCTTTTGAGACATTTTTTTTACTGAAACCTTATCAGGCTGTAAAGTTCATAGAGTATGATACCTCCTTCAGCGAAGAGGAGAAAAAGAGCTCCAAGGCATTGAAGGTTGCCTGTAATCTAAACAATGCAGCATGCAAGTTGAAGTTAAAAGATTACAAACAAGCGGAGAAATTGTGCACAAAGGTGTGACTGCTGTAACCCTTGATAGTTATAGAAAAATCAGTTCACGTGTTTACAAATGGGAAAACTGATTTTTGATGTGGACAAGCAGGTATTGGATCTTGAGAGTACTAACGTGAAGGCTCTCTATAGAAGGGCCCAGGCATATATCCAGTTGGCTGACTTAGATTTGGCTGAATTTGATATCAAGAAGGCTCTTGAGATTGACCCTAACAACAGGTAGATAAATTGATTCATTTAATTGAAATACACTGATAGGTATAATTAATATTTGTTATCTTTTGTAATAATTATTTTAAAATACTTTAGACAAATTTGCCATATTATATCTGATCTATCCATAATATCATGAAAAATGGATACCAATTAAATCATATCTATAGTGGTTTATACTATCAGTAAGAATCTTTATACTAAATGCGTGTTAAACTTAAACTCTATATTGAGTGAATTACTATTGTTGGATTGGATATTATAAAACGATAGTTTCTTAATATGGTTTAAAACTTGAATACCATTTATTTGCAATTTGGATGATATTTCATTTTTATCTCCTGATATTTTTGTTGTAAAGCCACCGATTTATTTGCTTTTGATATATGTACCAGAGATATCAAGCTTGAGTACAAGACTTTGAAGGAAAAGATGAAGGAGTATAACAAAAAAGAGGCAAAATTTTATGGAAATATGTTCAACAAACTGCATAAGCTAGATTCTCTTGACAGTAATGTGAGTATTCAGTCTCTGTAGTTTCTCTTAATATGTATGTATGCATTCTCTTGTATTTCATTTCTAGTCTAGAAAGGGTGATGTTTGAATTATAATCTTTCCAAGCTACCAATGTGATGACATCAAATTTTGATCTCAAGCACATAAACATACCTCGTTTAAAAAAACAAGAAAGTTAAAAAATTTCTATGTATAATGTTATATTTAATTTTAATTGACACTATTGCTAAAAAGTGAAAATAAAAAATGTTGTTCGTGAGGGATAATATTTTGAACATAATATTTAGTGTTTTATGTTCTGTACACTTTTTTGAATAATGGTTAGATTCGCGACTGTTGTGTTGTATGTTTTTTTTTCTTCATACATATGTTTGACGGTGCCAGTTAAATTTTCTATCCGAATTATAAAACTGTATATCTAAGAGTGTAACATTGTTCAAGGGTGTGGTTAGTGAGATAAAGTTTTTTGTTTTTGTTTATGCTGTGATTTTTGATGCACCTTGTTTGTTTAACATGCAGAAACCAGCGTCCAAGGATGCCCAACCCATGAATATCGACAGCAAGGCATAAACACTATGGAAATTCATCTAATTTCTAGGGTCTGCGTTCTTATTATTTGTGGACATTTGGAAATTATGATGGATTGCGGAATGTGAACGGGGATAAATTTTGTTTGTTATTGTTAAGGACAATTTTATATTAGTGATGTGTTTCTTTTTTTAATATATATTTGTTTGATGCATCTTAGCGGTAAGGTTACATTCTTGATTTGATTATAATGCCGTCCCTTCTTGAAAGTTTATGATAGTGGTGTGCAAAAAATTTAAATTGAACTGAATCGATCTATAATCGATCTAACCCATATTAAAAAATATGATCCATTTAAAAAAAAAATCTAAATCGAATCATTTTATAAAATTGATTTAGTTATCTGATCTATTTTTATAAAATGAATAGGTTCGGTTTTGTAACGTCTAAAAAAGTTTTGTAACGGCTAAAAATTATATATTTGCATATAACTTATATATATATATATATATATATATATTGTTTTGGATTGATAACACAAATAAATAATAGAAGGAAATTTTTAAATTCACATACACTTAGTTAGCTTATAAGGTCTGAAAATATTTGCAAAAATATATACATAATTTTAAACTACTCAAATTTTACATTATTATCTTCAATATTCACATACGTCTATAACTACGGGATGTTGTTGTGTTGGTGAAAAATAAAAAGATGACAATCCTATTCCTTGAAATGTTACTGCGTTGGCAGCCGGGTCTATAACTTATATATATATATATATATATATATATTGTTTTGGATTGATAACACAAATAAATAATAGAAGGAAATTTTTAAATTCACATACACTTAGTTAGCTTATAAGGTCTGAAAATATTTGCAAAAATATATACATAATTTTAAACTACTCAAATTTTACATTATTATCTTCAATATTCACATACGTCTATAACTACGGGATGTTGTTGTGTTGGTGAAAAATAAAAAGATGACAATCCTATTCCTTGAAATGTTACTGCGTTGGCAGCCGGGTCTATAGCCCAACTAGTGTCTGGGAAGACTGCAGTGATAACGGTAGTAAAAGGGTCAAGAAGGATTGGTAGATTCATCTATTATAACATATTAAATTTTTCACAAACAAAAAATAAGGAGTGAGAACACTTATTAAATAAATATATTTAATTAAATAAAGAACAAGATTATATATAATAACATAAAAATTAAATAATAAAATTTGAATCGTTTTAATAGTGACTAGTCAGGATAAATGAGCATTATTGTAGTATCAACCAAATGTCAACAGAATATTTTACCATGAATGATTACTCATTTAAATC